ATTGGAATCTATTAAGTTACTTGTTCACGGGTAACATGTTTTGGTTAAGCGCAAAGATAAGTTTATAATTAATCCAGGTACATTAACTGATCGCTTTCCTTTATTTCCTACAATGTATAAACTTATTGTATGTTATACTTTTATAATTATCGATTATTAAAACTGATGTTCAGCAAAAGAGAGGGTGCGTTTCGTATTTTCACTGAAATTGAAAGGAGGCAGTTGTTATCGGCTCCGTTTTGTTATAAATATCCACACAGTGAAGATGACGCTCATATATGCAGCACGGCGCCTCAACATTTCTGCTGTCTGTTAAGTTGCTAATATTAAAAAGAAAATAGGCAGTTCCTTAAATCATCTTTACATTTTATTGTTGAGAAAGTGAAACAACGTAGCCAAGGTGATGTGAATGAAGTTATAAAGTACACTGTTCCCTTTGAAGATTTACCCGTGTCCTCGGTATGTTTTCCATATCAAACTGAGAAGGGGGAGACTGCAGCCTTGATCAAACTTGCGAAGTCTTAACTTACAAGAAGAGGATGCGAGACTGAACTGTGTGTGGGCTACTTAATATTGAGGAAAAGCCCCAATCAGATAGGCGAACGTTTGCAGCCCCGCCTCCGTTTTCAGATGTCTCCGTCTTTCCCCATCCACACTGAGACGGAGCAGCAGCGTTTTAGAATGAAAACGGCCTCTCCAGCGTTTTCAAAAAGCTCCGTTTTCGGCGCTCGAGAACTCCGGCGTAGTGTGGACGGATGGCGTAACCGTAGCAAAACTTATGCGTTTTCAAACTAAAACGCACTAGTGTAAACGGGGCCTTAGTTTATGCACATTTTAAAAATGTATGTGCATTTGGCGTTTCTATTTAAGCATTTCTTTATGCAATAGTGCAATCTGAACATAAAATAGGTAAAGAGATGCAACTAATAAAAAACCCTCAGTGTAAGTTAGTCAACTTAAAATCTAAATTTACTTCATTTTATGCAAGTCCCATGTCTTATAGGGGTAGTTTAATTGACTCACACCATTTTAAAAGACTTCCTGCCCAAATCCCACAACTTTTTTTATTTTAATACCCTACATTTGGGAAGTGTAGGAGAATTAAAGCATCATTCCATGTTGACTTTAATCTTGGTCTTGGATTTAGGGTCGTATGTGTGTGTGTGGCCAAGTTCACATGTGCGAAAGATCATGCAAACTCTTTTGAAGCTCAAGACTGTATACTGAGCTGCACATACACTAAACATTATCTAGACTATTTAGATAAAGAAAGATGCCTTGCAGTGTGAAACCCCCTGGGATTCATTAAAGTTTTATGGCACCTGAATTTGACTGTACATCCTTGGTTTTGCTGGTTAATGGTTAAATGATACAAAGTGGAAGAGATTAAAAAACAAGCTTCACTTTTAATCATTGAAGCTCAAAAGTTTAACATTTCAGATGTTTGAATCGGATTATTTTTGTTGAGTAGTGGTGAAATGAGGTGCAAATTAGTATTAGTTGTTCTTTTTAACTGTATTGTTAACTCTATTTGCATGAAATGCCCTGCTATATATCTATTTTTCTTTAAATATATCATATTTAATCTTTTAAAGACCTCCTGTAGTTAAAATTCAGATTTTGTCCTTTTTTATAATATGCCTAAAGACAAACCTTGTGCAAATGCATCAGCCATCAACATTTAGCCTTTGTCAACAGCAGATGAGCATTATTTTTTGAAACTAGCCCACTAAATGGTTTTTGTTTATGCTTATTTAAATAGCAGCCTTTGGTTTGATGATGTAATCTACTAAGACATATACTGGAACAGTTGATTTTATTTTCATGAAAGGCGCAGTATGTAATGTTCACCACTAGAGGGTGTGTATTCACAACAAGCAAAGCTGTATTTTGAGTGTGGAATTATAGGAGTTATGGTCTCCATCATCCTACAGGAGAAATTGTGTTGATGGATGCGCTAAAGTATTCAACACTTTTTAATCATGATAGTATGGGGAAAGTAAGGCTGAAAGCTGCGAAGGAATCAAGAGAAACAAAATAATTGCTCATAAGAGATGAGCGGGACAGCAGCAAATTTAGCAAAACACTCAGGGCTCTATTTTAACGATCTAGACTCAAAGTCTAAAGTGCATGGCACAAAAGCATTAAGGGTGTGACCGAATTCACTCGCTATTTTAAGGATGGAAAAAAAACGGTGTGCCCCCGGTGTATGGTCTAACAGGGTTGTGCTTATTCTCTTAATGAGTTGTGGGTGTGCTTTGAGTAAAATGTGCATTAAACCAAGAGTCTCATCTCCTATTCCAGGGGTGTCAAACTCAATTCCTAGAGGGCTGAAGTCCTGCACAGTTTAGTTCCAACCCTGCTCCAACACACTTACCTGCAGGTTTCAAACAAGCCTGAAGGACTCAATTAGTTTGATCAGGTGTGTTTAATTAGGGTTGGAACTAAACTGTGCAGAGCTGCGGCCCTTTTGGAACTGAGTTTGACACCTGTGTCCTATTCCCTTTAAGAGTCAGTTGCGTCGCACCATGGTGCATTTGCTATTTACATGGCGGACTTTGTAAGTTGAAAAACTGAACGCTTCACTAGCTAGAAAACAGTTCAACAGAGCATCTGCAGCGCAAGGATAAAGAACAAGTCTCCTCTATTCGGCTTCTTTTACTTTCTCTTTACTTTTACTCTTTACTCCTGAACTTTCATGGATAATGAAGCGATGTTGTACGCAGTTGTGCCTGCAGCCATACGGTTGTACGCACTGTGCATACCTACCGTGGGATGGCGCAAATTAATTCCGCTTTTTAATCATTTTTTTATTACATAATTTAAATTGATTATTAAACAGCATACACTACTATATAATGACAAAGCAAGAAAGAATGAGAATAAATAAAGGTGTGCGTTTGTGTGGTTTAAAGTGTATATGTACTTGCATGGTGGGAGATGGGTATTGGAATCTTTTGGCTTTAGTTTTGCTGGTGATTTTTTCCGCACACTAAAAATTATAAGTCAGCTAGCTGTTGTTTAAAACAAGGTTTCACAAAGAGTAAACTCTCTTTAAAACAGCTAAACCTAATTGAGACATTTGCCAAAAGGCCTAAAACTAATGAGACAAATATTGCTTCCTCACATGGGGTGGAGATCAAAGTCTCATCAGCACCTGAGCTGGGGGAACTCCAGGCCCAGCCAATGGCTGCGCAGCCTCCTTACATGGTACCGCTACAATTCAAGGTGTTTTACACCATTTTATCTGTCAGACTGGCACAATCAAGCAGGCATCTTTATTCTCACAACAAGTTTCTGAGTTCTCTCACCCTTCCAAAAGAGTTATAGACTTGCTTTTTAAGCCCTTCACTTCAGATGGTATTGGTTATTTTTGTTGATCTAGTACAGTGGTTCTCAAACTGTGGTACATGTACCACTTGTGGTACGCGTGCTTCCTTCTAGTGGTACACAGAGAAGTCCAATATGTCATATGTGCATGCAACAATCATTTCAAAATTTATCAAAAATGATTCAAATATGAATATTGAGACATATAGCCTATTTTTATGGGGTCCAAGCAGCATTTCCAGGTTTTGATGAATAGCATACTATAGGTTAACACTTTACATTTAAGTACAGGAGGTTTTTTTTTTTTTTTTTTTACTTTCTAAGAATAGTAGTCTACCATTTTTAATCAACTTTTAAAAGCACATTTTAATTTAAACATTGATATTTTATTTTATTTATTTATTTTTACAAATAAGCACAATACAGTGTTAATGTTCAAACTATTTATAATGTTTAAAGTGGCTATTAATTTTTTAAACAATAATAGTTAATCTGCCACGTTTTTAAACTGTGCAGGGTTGTAGCTGCTTTACTGAGCCTACTACGCTACTGTATTTCAATACTGGTCATTATCGTGGTATTTGGACAATTTTTTTCTGAGGTGGTACTTGATGAAAAAAGAGAACCACTGATCTAGTAGATAACTGACCAACAAAAATATATCTTAAAATTAAGATAGAAGCGATGTGCTTTCATTTTCCCGGTCTCACTCGCGGGAATGCCCTTAAATAATGTAGCCTTTGACAGCCTTATGGCTCATATGGCAATGCAGTCGTCTCCAAAACCCGACAGGTGGACAAATCTAAACTGTTCTGTCAGAATAATAATAACATTTTACAAATGCAAATTGTCACGAATTAACTGAAGTAAGCCCCCTGAGATGAGACAAGGAGGCAGTGGTTTTTACATTTATATAGAAAATAATCAAAGTGTATCAAATAATCAAAGATATTTGTGTATTGCTGTACATCCTGTGTATATTAAGCAATGTGTAAGCGTTTGGACTCGCATAGGTGCATAACTAACACGCTCTTCACTGGATATTAGACCAGCTTTCAGTTGGACAGTGGCACAGTTTATTTCAGTTTCTCAAAATAGCTACGTGCCAACAATGCGCCTTTACACCTCCTAGTCCACAAAGTGGCGCAAATGGATTTGCTATTTCAACAACGTGATGGAAAATGTGAAAACTAGGGTTACGTTGGTCTGAAAATAGCAACAAATCATGCCAAAATAAGTAAAAGTGTATGATAGGGCCCTGACTGTTTTAGTGTTTTTAAGGATATTTTAGTTAAAAAAATTACATGTATCTTTAATTCTCCAACTTCATTCTATTAATTTTTTTTTCATTTCCATTCATTATCCATTGGTTTTGGTCAGTGTTCAACAGGCAAAATAAATCTCATAGACTTGCACTGAAGTGAGCCATGCTGTATTTTAGAACTGAAATGCTTGCTGATGTTATTGTGAGGACCAGCAGCACGTATTTGCTCTCATTAATTAGAAGTGGCTCTTTTCCCTCAATTGAAAGGCTTAATTAAATCATTTCCGAGTGTCCTGATTTGCTTCCGCATTGTGACCAGCCGGCACGTCCGAATGGGATGACTGTGAATAAATGTACCCGTGTTCTTGTTCTAGATTTTGACCTCTGAATCTTCTCTCTGCTTTAGGAACTGGTGAGAGCGGCAAGAGTACGTTCATTAAACAGATGCGCATCATCCATGGCGCCGGATACACAGATGAGGACAAGCGCGGCTTCACCAAGCTGGTGTACCAGAACATCTTTACCTCCATGCAGGCCATGATCCGCGCCACAGAGACCCTGAAGATCGGCTACAAGTATGAACAGAATAAGGTGAGAGTGATCCATGTTTGCAATGTTTTCTGTGTTACTAAGTTCTGAAAGGTGTCAGATCGAGATTTAAATCGAGATTAAAGGTTAAAAGTTGTCTCGTGAGTTGTGATTTTAGCATGATGGCGTGTGAGAGAGAAATTTGCGTTGAAAGTTGGAGGCAGGATTCCATTTAAACCACTAATCAAGTGCTTTGCACACACCTGGCAACCCAGGCTGGCCTTGATATCACACGTGTCACTTGGTTGCTTGGGCGAGTGTGACGTAACCTTTTTTTATTTCCACTGTAGTCACTGCCATGTCCAAACATAGGCTGCTGGTACCACATCACGCACGGCGATTACGTCTCCCTGGCCTAGGTTAAGAATCTGGCAGTTTTTCGCATGACTAGCTTTTGACCAGAGACCTGCGTGCAATTATGTCATAGTGACACCCGCTGGCATATAAACATAGTAAGACGTGAAAGCTTTTGTTTTTATTTTATTGTTTTTGTTATTTTGTTATTTTTTCGCCTTTTTTATTAATTAAAAAAAAATTGTGTTACATTTTTATTTTATTCCAATAAAAACATTGGCCTTATAAACATAACTTTTCCCACAAGTTCTCGCGAGATTAAATCGAGATTTATGGTAAAAAGTTGTCTCGTGAGTTGTGATGTTAGCATGATGGCGTGTGAGAGAGAAATCCGCGTTGAAAGTTGGAGGCAGGATTCCATTTAAACCACTAATCAAGTGCTTTGCACACAAGTGGCAACCCAGGCTGGCCTCGATACTGCATGTCACTTGGTTACTTGGGCGGATGTGACGTAACCGCTTTTTTTTTTTTTACTGGAGTTCAAAGTCTGCCATGTCCTAACAGAGGCTGCTGGTACCACATTACCTACTGTCACACCAGCCCAAGCAACCGAGTGAGAAGTGCAACACCGATCGATCGACCCAGGTTCGGAATCTGACAATTTTTTATTTTATTTGCAATGATGTCACAGCGACAACCGCTGACATAAACATTGGAAGACATTAGTTTTATTTTATTGTGTTTTAAGTTATTTTCTCATTTCTTTTTTCCTTTTCTTTGTTTTTATTCAATATTTTTTCATATTAATGAAATTTGATTTTTAATTTTAGTTCTTTGAAATAAAAACATTGGCCATATAAATATAGGACAACATGAAAACTTTTTCTTTTTTAAGTTCTTTTCACACAAGATCTTGCGAGAATATATCAAGATTTAAGGTAAAAAGTTGTCTCGTGAGTTGTGATGTTAGCATGATGTAGTGTGAGAGTGAAATTCGCATTGAAAGTTTAATGCAGGATTCCATTTGAACCGCAAATCATGTGCTTTGCACACATCTGGCAACCCAGGCTGGCCTTGATATTGCACGTGTCACTCAGTTGCTTCGGCGGGTGTGACATAACCGTTTTTTGTTCAAAGTCTGCTGCGTCCAAACAGAGGCTGCTGGTACCAAATTACCTACCGCAGTTATATTATACCCGCCCAAGCAACCGAGTGAGACGTGCAACACAAAGCCAGTCCACATCGATAGACCGACCTAGGTTTGGAATATGACAGTTTTTCGCATGATCAGCTTGACCAAAGACCTATGTGCAATAATGTCACAGCAACAACCGCAGACATTAACATAGGAAGACAAAGAAATTTTTATTTTATTGTTTTTTTTTTATTTATTTTATTTTGTTGTTTTTCTCCTTTGTTTTCTGTTATTTAATTTTTTTAATGAATTATTATTATTTATTTTTTATTCCATTAAAAACATTGCCAGGAAAAAAATTTATACATTACATTTTTCATAATTTCACAATGTTTTATTTATTAATTTATTTTTTTGCAATAAAAATGACTGATTTTGTAGGGTTAATTTCCCGAAATTTGCGAAAAATTTTGCAGTTAAAAAAAAAAAAAATGTGTATATATATATATATATATAATAAAAAATGTGTTAGGGCTCTCTCTACTGTAATACACCTAAAACACGGATTGCTGTAAAACTTGTCAATGGCAGGGAAGCGTTTTCTCCCGTTAACAGCAGGGAAAGAGGTAGGCGAAATCGTTTATCGATTTGATGCACACCATAATACCAGCCATACATGTTAAGCGCAAATAATGTCCTTCAATTTGGTCATGTCTATCGGCCGTCATCCTTGAACCAATCTCCATTATTGTAAGCTGCTTTGCATTGCTCCGTTTGTTAGATGTTTGCTCCCACTTTTTTCCTGCAGTCTGAAGCACGTCAAACACTCAAAACACACAATTTTCTCCGTGTTATTCATTCGATTTGTGCCACAAGATGTATAATCGCATCTTTGCATTGTCTTCCCATGTAAATCACCCGCGCTTCATCTGCGTCTGCTTACTGCACAGGCTGCAAAACTATTTCCCCCCGCTCTCATGTAGATTGTGAGGGCACAGGTGAGATGTCATTTTTCGAGAGACACTCAAACACTTCATGTGTGCTGCGTTTGCAACGTCTATAAGTCATGGAAAACAATTAATTGCAAACTGAAATAAATATAATTTAATTATGTGGTTTGGACTTGGATGTTTCATGAGATTATTTACATATTTTATGTGATTATTCAGCGTTTAATTTAAGTATTTTGCAGGATTGAAAAAAAAAAAACGTTGACTTTACGTTGGATTCAGCGATTGCAAAATCGTAATAAACTAAGGGGTCACAATTTTTTTACACGAAGCATTTTTTTAATAATCTTAGATTTTTCATCTGCCATATTACACTACTGCAGATTATCAGCTTGTTCTCCTTTTGTCTAAACCGTTCATCTTCTCTGGACTGCAGGCCAACGCTATGCTGGTGAAGGAGGTGGACATCGAGAAGGTGATGTCCTTTGACCACCCCTACATTAATGCCGTAAAGATGCTGTGGTCTGACCCAGGCATTCAGGAGGCCTACGACAGACGCCGAGAGTACCAGCTGTCAGACTCCACCAAATAGTAAGTATACATCTGTCATCATCCCTGCATTTAATAAATGATGATCATTCACAATCAGCGGTGTTTAAACAGTGTCACGTCCTCCTAACAGTTGCAAATGCGCTGTTGTGTAAGACCACAATGCGATCCGGCGACTCATTCATTCACACTGGTCATGCTGTATCTGTAAGTCAACAGGAAGCCAACGTTTCTTGATAATTGTTCCTGGTCATATTGTAAATGATTAATTGGTGTTTGTTATTCCATTGAAAAAATACTTGTTCATCTGGAATTCTGTCATTGTTTGCTCATTCTCGTGTTTCGTGAGTTTCTGTCTGAGGGAGTAAATAGATAAGAAAATAAATGACTATTCTGAGGACAAAAATAAGTCCTCAAAATGGCAGGAAAGCCTTTGAACTCACAAAATTAGCTGTAATCCACACTGAAAAAAAATATTAGTTGACTTTACTTAAATTTGACCCCTTTTGCAAGATGTAAGATTAGCCTTTGGTGTCTCCAGAATGTTTCTGTCAAGTTTCAGCTCAAAATATCCATCAGATTATTTAGTATATAATATAGAATCTGTCCATTTTGGTGTCTGATCACAATGTAGCTGTTTTTGTAGCCTGTGGCTTTAACGAACCCCTATTTTGCATTATAAAAGGTCATATTTTGGTTTTGCGGGTCTCCAACAGCATGCTGATATGCTTGCAAGATCAAAAAACACTTTCATTGTCCTGTAATATACATTTATTTTATCTAATTAACCCAACGACTCCCATATGAATCGTTCAGCGATTCATTAGTTCCCAAACCTCTCCTTTGCGTGAGGCTAATCTGTTGTGATTGGTCTGATGACCCAGTCTGTTGTGATTGGTAGACTGGATTCAGCACAAAACGTCTACCACCGTTATGAAGCAGCAGAGAGTGTGTGAGAGCCCAATGCAGTAATGCAATAAAGCAATGCAGTTAAACTAGAGCTGCAACAACGAATCGATTAAATCGATAAAAATCAATTACTAAAAGCGTTGGCGACGAATTTCATAATCAATTTGTTGTTGCGCGACACGGGGACGTTTGATTATTAAAAAACACTTTAGTTCAGCGCGGAGCGGAGTGAACACGGTCTCTCTCATGTGCACTGATACAGAGTTCGTCGCCTCATAGACAGGGATGAGAAGGAAGAGAGTTTAACAGTAGGGTCCTACTTTTGAAGTGAGGACTGTAAAGTCCCTGCTGCTGATGTTTTACTCGTTATCCAGCTTGACAAGCATGACAAGCTAGCGTTAGCTTGTTTACCTTTAGAAAAACCTAATTCAGCTTTGGTGTGGTGTCTGATGGTGAGCCAGAGAGAGCTCGCGCTGAACAGAGCTCTCAGTTAGGGATCGTCGGAAAAGTGCTTTTTTTTTTTTTTTTCGTTTCGATAACGAAACCAACTTAACCCTGCTGAGAAAGACGAGTCATATTATCACAATTATGCAGCGTTTTAAAACTAACCGCCTAATGCTTATATTATGTTTTAGACATGTAAATACACACAAGTATTAGTAAAACAGAACATTTAGAGTTTGTAAAACACACAAGAGAGTCTAACAATCCATTCCGTTTTTTTAATATCAGATACACATTACACATAGTGAAAGTAACTATGAAGCTGAATCTACTCTTCTCTAAGTTCACCAGCCGCTTACTTGCATGTAGTTATTAGGAGTAACTGGTGAATTTACGTGCTGAATTCTGCGTGTTTTGCTTTTTATGAATGAGGAAAACGTGCAGCTGCAAGTAAACATGGTGACGACCATCTCACATTATAGATCACAATCACTTACACGTTTATGTGAACTGTTAAAACTTCTCTTTGAGATTACATCTCATTAAGATTATTTTCCTTACCCAATTCACAAATAATATAACTTGTTTTAAGCAAGTAATCACTTAAATCTGAGGTGTTTTTTTTTCTTCAGAAAACAAGACATCATTTCTTATGTTATTTCATGTGTCTAGTATGTATCTTGATTTAAAAATATTTAGATATTTGGATTGAAAACAGGACAAAACTACTTTAGTTTGTATTTTATCATTATTATAACAGCTCAGGGATGAGCTTTTTTGAATAAACGGTTGAAAATTAACTATATTGCTGAATTATTAGGGTGAGGCAGTGGCGCAGTAGGTAGTGCTGTCGCCTCACAGCACTCACAGAAGGTCGCTGGTTCGAACCTCGGTTCAGTTGGCGTTTCTGTGTGGAGTTTGCATGTTCTCCCTGCCTTGACGCTCATAAACAATCATAAAGTCCTCGTGCTGCAGGAATTAGGAGGTTTGCTGAAGGTGCAACTGTTGTGCATTGAGGGGAGGGGGTTTGCGTCTTTAATAAACTACGGCAGTTTGTGTTCATTAAACAGTAAGAATGATTCATTAATCCATATAAAACGGCCCCTTAAAGTCACGTCCCGCTTTCAGTTTCGGGCTCAGGCACATTTTGCACTCAAACAAGCGTACTGTGCCAAAGCCCAAGTAAACCGCGCTCAGAGGCTTACAGAGTAAATCGTGTGTGAGCCTGATTCAGAGCACTCAAACTTCTCTAACGATCCGGAAAACGTGCCTGGGCATGGTTCGGACAGCATAGTGTGATTAGGCCCTTATTCAGACACACTCATTCACTATGGCCAATTTAGTTTATTCAAGTCACCTATAGCACATGTGTTTGGACTGTGGGGGAAACCCGAGCACCCAGAGCAAACCCACAGCAACACGGGGAGAACATGCAAACTCCACACTGAAATGCCAACTGGTCCAGCTGGGACTCGAACCAGCGACCCTCTTGCTGTGAGGCCACAGTGCTTACCACTGAGCCACCATCCCACCTCTAATCTGAATCGTAGAGTTAATCTGAAAGCTGAATGGTTAGATGCAAGGATTATCTTTGATTCAGCTCACAAATGTCCACAAACTTAATTCATGAAAGAGTCATTCAGAAACAAGCGATTCAGTTTGATTTATCTCATTAACGTTAATGAACTGGAATCAATTTAAGTATAATGACCTTAATGACTTTATAAGATTTACAATGTATTACACAGAAGTCATATAAACCGTTTTTATGATTTATTTGGGTGCAATTTTTATTTATTTATACTTTATTATTATTATTATTATTATTGTCATTAAAAATTCTCCAGTGTAATAGCATGAAAAAAATAGCAATTTCTTTAAAAATAATATCTTCAGTTCTGCCCTAAAAGAGAGAAAGCGAGTCATGTAGATGTGAAATGACAGAAGAGTGAGTCACTGATTTATATTTGGAGCATTCTTTTAATGCTTACAGATATCTAAGATTTTATTATGTCTGGAGAAGGGAGAATAAAGCGATCAATTTATGCTTAAAAATAAACACAACAACTTCCAGCTTGTGCAGGACACAAAAATCAATTCAGCTCTCAGAGAAGGTTTTGTGTGATTGTCTGTTTCACAGCTCTCTTTTTCTGAATGGGTTTGCGTCCGCGTCTCTCTGATGATCTAAATGAACAGTTTGGCGGCAGTCAGTCTTGTCCTATTTCTTTTACTGGCCCAATAAAATACGGAGGCAGTGCGCTTTTTTTCACCACATTAAAACGCACAGATGTATGAAGCCTGGAGTCTGTTCAAGAATCATTGGCATCATGTGAATCGCTCCCCCTGCTGGTGTGTTGAGGAAACACAGGTCACATCAGTGCTGCAGAATTGACACATTTACACAAACTTCACTTAAAAGCAAGGTTATAATAGTTTTGGATTTCTCTTTAGTTTTAATTTCTATTTAGTTTTGACTTTGTTTTCAAATTTAGCTAGTTTTAATTGGTTTAAGAGGCCGATTTACTAGTTTTCATTAGTTTCTATATATTGAAATGACTTGGCTTTAGTTTAGTTTTTATTAGTTTCAGTATTAGTTTTTTTTCATAATGAGGATATTTGTTGGGTGCAAGATTCAAAATCAACAGGATAAATATTGGTTAATAAAAACTCAGTCATACATTATCTGAAACATTTATTCAAAAGACACATGAACACTATCATCTACCACTACCATCTACTCATCCTCAAATTCAAATACAACAGCCCTCAAGAAAGCAGCCCTAAGTACAATATGTGTGCAAGCCTGCTTCTGAGGTTAAATACACAGCAGTGGTGGGAAGTTTAGATCCTTAACATTTAAGACCTCGATTCACCCGCGCTGCAGTTGTTCAAGTTTAGATGCGCAGTATTGACAGTTCAGCGCTTCTCAATGTAACGTTGCTGTTGCCGGATTATTTATTTAGTTGTTTAAAAAAATAATCTGATCTCACAACAGGTTTCTTTTAAAAGGTGTATTGGATATTTATTGAATAAAAATGTCTGTTTCTTTTTGGAGAATATTAACATTCTTGCTTTCAGAGCTGCGCTATTGTCATGTATCATACAGTTGAAGTCAAAATTATTGACCCTTAATTACTTCCTTTTTCTTTTACAAATATTTCCCAAATGATGTTTGACAGAGCAAGGATTTTTTTACAGTATTTCCTATAATATTTTTTCTTCTGGAGAAAGTCTTATTAGTTTTATTTCGGCTAGAATGAAGCAGTTTAAAACAAAATTAAAAACCATTTTCAGGGTTCAACGCTAGGGATTTTTTTCTACTAGCCCGATCGGGCAAGTGGTTCAGATTTTTACTTGCCCTGCCAAAATTTTCTGATTAAAATTTTCTGATTAATTAATACTGATTAGATTAATTAAAGTGAATTGTTTAATGTGTGGTTTAGTTTAATTATTTAGTTGACATTTTTATGTTTTTTGTTTGTTTAAAATCCACCAAAATTCCTAATTTTATAAGCAGGCTCATTACATCAGTCTATAATACTGTCAGTATTTTTATTATTCATTTATTTGTAAATCTTAATTTAAAATGTATTTCACTTCTTGTTCTTGCTTGATCCATCAACATAATAATCATATTAGCCGCACGAATCGCGCTTACTGGGCAAACAAGTTCTGAAACAAACGTTTGGGCATGAAAGCACGCAATTGACAAACAGTCGCCGCCAAATTAAACTTTAGTGACAAAGCAGCACTGGCCCCTATCGGGCCAGTAACCATTCTGTATACTGTCCCGAGCGTCTTGCACACTGGCCCCGGGCCAGCGGGCAGTCCTTATTGTTGAGCCCTGATTTTAAGGTCAATATTATTAGCCCCCTTAAGCAATATTTGTTTCGATGTTCTACAGAACAAACTGTCGGTCTATAGTGACTCTGGCCAAACGTCTTGTGCGTAGCTACACTGAACATTGGACGTCCATCGTGGAGAAGCTGCAGGTGTGAGTAGGTCACCGGTGAGCTAACCCACGGCATCAATGCGAAGACTCGTCTGTCACTGGGGTCTTTCTGGAATCAGACTCATGCTCTCCACTCCTCCATGACCGCGACGGCATCTGCAAACGGCCTGGTCCAAGATTATGGATACCTCTAGAAGTCCTCTATGGAGGACATAGAGAAAGTCTTATTAGTTTTATTTCGGCTAGAATGAAAGCAGTTTAAAAAAAAAAGTAAAACTATTTTAAGGTCAATATTATTAGCCCCCTTAAGCAATATTTGTTTCAATGTTGTTCAAATGTCTACAGAACAAACTGTCGGTCTACAGTGACTTGCCTAATTACTTTAACTTGCCTAAATAACCTAGTAAAGCCTGTAAATGTCACTTTAGGCTGAATACTAGTATCTTGAAAAATGTTTCATCTTTATTTCTATAGCACTTTTACAATGGAGATTGTGTCAAAGCAGCTTACCATTGAAGTTCTAGTGAATTAAGACTGCTTCAGTCCAGTATTTAGAGTTGAATTTCAGTTTAGTTTAGTTCAGTGTGGTTTAGTTTTCACTGCTGAAAGCCCAAACACTGAAGAGCAAATCCATCATTGCGCAGCTCCACAAGTCCCAAACCAAGCAAGCCAGTGGCGACAGTGGAGAGGAACAAACTTCACCAATTGACGAAAGTGAAGGAAAAACCCTCAAGAGAAAACAGGCTTAGTTAAGCACGACCATTTCTCCTCTGGCCAAACGTCTTGTGCATAGCTACACTAAACACTGGACGTCCATAGTGGAGTAGCTGCAGGTGTGAGTAGGTCACCGGTGAGCTAACCCACGGCATAAATGCGAAGACTCGTCTGTTACTGGGGTCTTTCTGGAATCAGACTCATGCTCTCCACTCCTCCATGACCGCGACGGCATCTGCAAACGGCCTGGTCCAAGATTATGGATACCTCTAGAAGTCCTCTATGGTTGGCAAAAAATATCTAGTAAAATATTATGCACTGCCATCATGGCAAAGATAAAATAAATAAGTCAATAAAAAAATTGTTAGTAAAACTATTATGTTTACAAATGTGTTGAAAAAAATCTTCTCTCCGTTAAACAAAAACAAACATGGGGGCTAATAATTCAGGAGGGCTAATAATTCTGACTTCGACTGTATAATGCTTCAATCACATGAAGTCTACCTTCATTTGACCAGTTCAACAAATCATCAGTCTTCCCTATTTAGCTGCTGTTTTATTTAGATCGTCTCATAAGACAACATAATGAATATCCTCTGAGATCTGCTGACTGGGGAAGCATCCTTTACCAAACCACACGCTAGTGAAGTAAAGGGGTTAGTGATGTTTTATTTTTCTCTCTTTCTCTTTTTCTCAGTTATCTGTCTGATCTGGATCGTATTGCCGAATCTTCGTACCTTCCCACCCAGCAGGATGTCCTGAGGGTTCGAATCCCGACCACGGGGATCATTGAATACCCATTTGACCTTCAAAGCATCATTTTCAGGTAGAGGACGCAGGGCAATTATTCATCTGCCTTCGTTCGATATTTAGAAACTCATTTTTTTTCTTCCCTTCTCACTGAATGTAGGTTAACATTGAGAACTGGAGAGTTATTAATATTTTCAAGAGCCACAGATGACTTTCTAGTGTGCGACCTATAAAGATCTAGTCACACATCAGTCATAGATGTCTTTGTTGCAGTTTTTGGAGAGAGAGTAAATAGTAAGTAAATTAAGATTTTAAAGGTGTACTATCCCTTTACGTAAAGATTACAGTCTAGTTTTACTGTGGTTTTAATGAAAAGTACTGTCTTTGGTTCAGTTTTTGGGTTTAAGCACTCATTTAAAGGGACATTACACCAATTTTACTGTCATTTAGGGTGCGTTCACACCTGTGGATCGATTCTCTTGTGCTGAAATAGGGATTAAAATTGTTACAATGTTGCTCTTTGCTTTTGGTGTGGTTGGCTTGCACACTGCAAAGTTTCTAAACGGACCAAAAGAGCTAAAACAAGTCACGTGTGAGTAAACTCTCCTCATATTGATCAGAGTTTCACAGTTTATTTTGCAGAGACCCGCTCAGCTGTCATGCATCCTTATTTTAATTCATGACGATGAGCAATAAGATATTATCTGTGAAAACTGGAGAAACGCACCAGGTTCCGAAACAAACTTCTAGGTGTAAAAGCACCCTTACTCTCTAATTGTTTCAAACCTTGATGTGTTCCTTTCTTCTGTTGAACACAAAAGAAGATATTTTGAAGATAGCTAGAAACCTGTAACCGTTGACTTCCATACTGTTTGTTTTTCCTACTGTGGAGGTCAATGGTTACATGTTTCCAGCTTTCTTCAAATAATCTTCTTTTGTGTTCGACCGAAGAAACTCAATGGTTTGTAATGACTTAACCAGTTAAACTCTCCAGACTCGGGTACGTGACGTCAACGATTTTCGCTTTAGGATTTAAAGGGCTAGCATTGCACCAGACCCCCGTAAGTGGTTTAGTTTGAAAGTGTAGAATCTTTATTTTATGCACATACCTGTATGCTTCAATTTGGTTTTTATTCTACTGTAAAAAAGTTATTTACGCTTAAATACACAGCATTCTTTTTACTGAACTATATTCAACAGTTGCCAAATGAATCGTGGTGTTTCCATGGCGCAGAAGTGAAAACAATACATTTATGATCAATAAGCAGCCCCAGATTGCACAGACAGCTGTCATCTCTTACCTTATCATGTAACATGTCACAGCGTCAGTAAACTGCATCAATCTTTCGCTTTCACACTTGTACTTATTCATTTTAGTGAAAACCTCAGATGCTGTTGGTTGTGCACTTTTTTAACAGCCAGGTTTATCGACGCCATTGTAACGACACATTGCTTATTCATGCCAGAGTCCTGCGGAAAAAGTGATCGACAGGTGGTCATTTGTGTGTAACTTATACTTATTTATTTATGATCTGGTTATGGCTAGGCCCACACAGAATCTGCACGCGTGGAACTCTGCAGATTTTTAGCCCGTCATTGATTTAGTTTATTTACTTGTGTAAATGTGTGTAAATTCGTATTTATTCAGCTTTTAAATTAATTTCAGTAATATTATTGACTAATATGAAAGTGTTGGTATGATTTATGTACAATGCAGTTTGTAAAGTAATATTTTCTGTCTTTTAGTAGATCTATTATATGAGAGACTTGCTTTGTTTTCCAAATAAAGTGGATCTAATTGGATTTGCATTGTAAACATTAAATACAAGTCAAAAAGGCGTTACTTTTTATTTCATATATTGAGGTTTTAGTTATGATACTGCTAAAATCATTCGACATAAATCCGCAAGATTTTTACCTAAATATTGCGCAGAAATAGCAAAAAATGTCTGCAGATTTCGTCTGGCCCTGGTTATGGGTAAAACTAAAAACGGTAAGCCACAAATAATTAATTCATCATGATTCATAAATAGTTTATTCACCGCCGCCTACAACGACGATGCTATCATCCATCGCAATGTTTCACATTAGACGTCGTATGATGCCTAATTGGTCGACATCGCCCAATCCTATTAAATATTAGAATTCTACAGTATTTCAGTTTTTAATGAACGGTTTGGATCATTTTTGTTGTGTTTGGAAGGAGAAAACATTATTTATGTATTTATTTTGCATAATTAATTCTATTGACACTTAAATAAAACAACCTTTTCAAATAATATATTTTTTTAATGTAATTGAATTTGATTGCTTTGAATTTTTAGCATCTTTCCTCCAATCTTCAGTGCCACACAATCCTTCAGAAATCATTTAGATATGATGATCTGATGCTTTGTGATAATAATGCATTAGTGAATGTTGAACTCTGATTAAGAAATGCTGTAAAAGTATTGTTCATAATTAGTTCATGTTAGATAAACCATCAATAAATCCTGAAATTAGCATCTATTACAGGTAAATAATATGAAGCAGAACCGTTTTTTTAAACACTGAAGATGCACACTTACATGCTTGTTCATGTTAGTAAATGCATTAACTAACATTAACCAATACAACCCTATTGTAAAGTGTTACCATTTGATTAAAGGAAATAATAGAAAGTTAGAACATTTGCAGTGTTTTAAATGTCTTTACTATCAATTTTGATAAATCTGTTGCGTCTTTGTGTGATCAGATTTGACATTTCTGTAGAACTAAAACGTTTGACTGGTGTGTGATGATCATTAAGTTTTAATGAGGTTTATTTTTCATTGGCCGCAGTTAAAAGGACTCCAGTCAGAAGCCTCTGCCATCCGGTTGCTGTGGTTAAATGAATCCACAAGTCAATCCCATAATGCTTAGCACTTACCAGCTTCCGCCTTTTTACCAATCAATTATTTGACCTCATTTGAAACTTTGTATTATCAGTTCTGTCTTGTGTTATTGCTTTCTTCAGATAAAAGGTATAAAGGCATCTGCTAACATCAATGAATGTAGATGTATGTCAGAGCGTGAATATTCTTTAATATTCATGACTTAAGGGTGTGGCCAGTGTAGACAAAAACTGCCTCATTAAAACTACGAGTTTTGAAGATAATGTTAAATTATATATGAATGTGAAAATATTCTAATCAATCTTACTTCCAGTATTACGATAATGTAGATTTCTTTTGCCATAATTTAGGCCTAATACTTATTATATTCATTCATTCATTTTCCCTTCGGCTTATTCTCTACTTCAGAGGTCGCCACAGGGAAATGAACCGCCAGCTTTTCCAGCATATGTTTTCAATATATTTTCCACCATATGTTTTATCTTGCCACAACCCAGTACTGGGAAACATCCATACACGCACACACTCATACGCCAATTTAGGTTATCCAATTCACCTAAAGCGCACGTGTTTGGACTGTGGTGGAAACCGGAGCACCTGAAGGAAACCCATGCCAACACGGGGAGAACATGCAAACTCCACACACAAACGCTAACTGAGCCATCCCGGGGCTTGAACTAGCGACCTTCTTGCTCTGAGGCGACAGTGCTAACCACTGAGCTACCTAGTTATTATATTATATTATATTATATTATATTTTATTATATTATATTATATTATATTATGTTATATTGCCCATTATTAATTTTTATTTTAGCCCTAATCACTATATTAAGACAACATTTCTATAGTTGCATGTTACGTGTTTTTTTTCCGACTGTAAATCCTAGAATTGCACGTTTTCCCACCTTTTTATTTTACCTAAATATTGAACTTTCAGTACTAAATGGCCAAATTTGCACATTTAAAAATATATATCTGCTTTTTTTCTCATCTAAAATTAGCTTATTTGTATTTTTAAAATTAATTTTAGACTTAATTATCAAAGGTTTTTTTTTTTTAGATTTAGTTTTTCCAGTGTCATTTCAGGCAAAATGACACTGGAAATGACACTTTAAATTATTAATAATTTTATTATATATATTTTTATATAGAGAGCCAAAAAGTGCTATTATTTAGTTTTTATTGTATGTATGTATGTATGTATGTAGACACATATATAGACACAAATGTATGTATTTGTATGTATATGTGTGTATGTATGTGTGTGTGTGTGTGTGTGTGTGTGTGTGTGTGTGTGTGTGTGTGTGTGTATATATATATATATATATATATATAAACACACACACACACACACAACACACACACACACAGTTGAAGTCAGAATGATTAGCCCGCGCTTTAAATTTTTTCTTCTTGTTTTAATTTTTCCCAAATATTAAAACTTATTTGTTTTATTTTAGCTAGAATAAAAGCAGTTTTTAATTTAATATGAAACATTTTAAGGTCATTAAAGCTGTATAAAAGTGTCTTGAAAAAATATCTGGTAAAATATTATGTACTGTCATCATGGCAAAGATAAAATAAATCAGTTATTAGAGATGAGTTATTAAAACTATTATGTTTAGAAATACGTTGAAAAAATCTTCCCTCCTTTAAACGGAAATTGGAGAAATAATAAACAGGGGGGCTAATAATTCAGGAGGGCTAATAATTCTGACTTCAACTGTATATTCAACATTGTTTAAATGGTACTTATTGAATTTGCAAAACAGCAATAGTGTTTGTTGCATATTATAAACGTATTTTTCCATACCATTAATGACCTAGATTCATAATTCCTGCAATTGTGCTTTTAGGCACAGGTATTTAACTACACACTAAATTTATCATATCGAGGGCTCGCAAAACTGCTAGCCCGATATTCTAGGGCTATTCATTTTCCAGTTGGGCTACAAAAATGTAATCCATCCTGCCTGTTGGGCTATCTTAATAGGAGGGAAAATATAACCTATTTCAATGCTTTTGCTTTCTAAACAAATTGGGTAATTGTGTTTTATGTAATTGTCATGCAGCAAGGACACACTATAAATATTTGCTGTTGGTGTCAAATAAATGAGTGGTACTTTTAGTATGAACTTCATAAAAAAATAAATGAATAATGAATAAATTAACTGTATAAAAGTAGACAAAAGGTTTTTTTCAGGGGAAGTAAAAAAGCAAATAAATAAATAAGTAAAAAAACAATAATAAATAAACAAAAAAATAAATCTGTTTTTAAATAATAAAATAAGTAAAATACAATAATAAAGAAATACAAATTAAGAAATAAAGAAATCCTAAAATAATAAAATAAATAAATAAATTCTAAAATCATAATAAAATAAAAATATATTATAATAGTAGTAAATAAATATTTTTAAATAAAATAATATATATATATATATATATATATATATATATATATATATATAATAGTAAATAAATATATTTAAAAATATATCTGAAAATACAATAATCAATAAATAACTAAATAATAAAATAAATAAATAAAATAAAAAACAATCAAATAAATAAAAATACAATAATGAATAAATAGATAAAAATTTATATAATAAAATTAATTAATTAATTAATTAAATAAATGCAATAATAAATAAATAAAATAAATAAACCAATTAAAAAAATAAAATAAACAAATAAAAATACAATAATAAATAAATCAAATAAATCAATAATTTTTGTAAATAATAAAATAAAGAAATAAGTAAAGATAAATTAATAAAAAAAATGAAATAAATGAATAAAAAAGCTATAGTCAATAAATAAAATAATAAAATAAATAAATACAATAATAAACTAAATAAATCAATCAATTAAATCAATTTTGTAAATAATAAAATATAGAAATAAGTAAAAATGCAATAATAAAGAATTAAGATAAAAGAAATAAAATAAATGAATAAAAATCAAATAATAAATAAATTTAAAAATATTCAAATAAATACAATAATAAATAAATTAATTAAATCGATTTTGTAAATAAGTAAATAAAAGTACAATAATAAAGAAATAAAATAAATAATATTCTAAATGTTTTTTTAATTATTATTTATTTATTTTTTTTAAATATTGGTGGGCTTCAATGAATGCATCTATATATATATATATATATATATATATATATATATATATATATATATAATTTTTTTATTTTTTTATTTACTAGATGTATTTACTTTTTTGTATTTACTAAATAGCATCTTTTCTATTTGGGCCACTTGAATTTGTTTTGGGCAACCAAAAACTGAAGAGGGATTTAAACCTTCTTGTGTGTGAAGAGACTCCAATGAAACTCCTGGTGTATTTCCTTTATTTATTTTCATTCCTATGTGCGTGATGAGATGAAATTTCATCAAAGGACACGAGAGATTACTTCTGCCTTATTGCCTCCATCAATGATTGCCTTCAGCTCTGTGTTAATCTCCGTCAAACTGCCTTAAACCCTCACGCACCTCATGCCCATGCTCACTCACTCACAGCCTTTTCTCCATCCCTTCACGTCCCGCTCTCCCTCTCAGTCCAAAGTTGGCCAAGTGCGGAGTAAATGTGGAGCCTCGTCCTACATTAAAGAGCGTATGTGTGTATGTTCGGAAGTAGGTCACCGAGCCCCTGGCTGAAGGAAATGAGGACGCTTTCTATCTGAAGGAGCTTTATTTTGGGCAGCCAATCCTAGAGGGCTTCATTTATCAAAGGCCCCTCTGTGAACTGCTGGCTCAGGACTGGAGCTCTGGCTCCAGCAGGGGGCGCTGTGTCAATCCGCATAAATCACTGCTGGAGGAACAGCGCCATCTCTGGCCGGACACGCTTTACCTCAGATGTGCGCTGTTTTTTTTTTTTTTTCGGATATTTACCGGTATCACTGTGTGAAAGGGGCTTTTGGTATTAGGTGCTCCCTGATTATTTTAATCAAAATTCTCCCTCACTCTTAGAACTGAGAATTCATGTTAAGTGCATTGCATTGTGGGATGCTGTACAGTGATTTTGTGGTCGGCACATATTAGCACTTTTTTTTTTGTTCCAGGCATGCTGAGGATTTGCATACTGTGCACAGTATAATGCTGAATTATTAATTGATATAATGTCTGTAAGAATCAATAATGCAAACGTTGGCTCTCTGTGAATCTTAGGATGGTTGATGTCGGGGGTCAGAGGTCAGAGCGCAGGAAGTGGATCCACTGTTTTGAGAATGTGACGTCCATCATGTTTCTGGTGGCGCTGAGCGAATACGATCAGGTTCTGGTGGAATCAGACAACGAGGTGAGAGAGCTGGAGTCTGAAATATTCATAACTGCATGCTTTAATAATCTATACTACTCTTTTGGTTATCCTAATGTCAATGATTTTTAATTATGATTTATTGATGTTTTTTTTTCTCAGTGAATATAGGTCATATTTTGGTGCATTCAGACAAAACAGATTTATTAAGCAGATAATATTTATTAAAATAGTATTTTAGTCACCTTAGTCATCATAAATTCATCTCAAACATTGCAAAAATAAATGACAAACTACAAAATTTCAACAAAATTCAGTTTTTTTATTTCTCTTCTCTTCTTTTTTTTCTTCTTTTTTTAAAATTTTTATTTAATATTTTTTCCTAAGATATGAATTTGGGTGTACTAATTTTGGACCTTTATTGTAAGTTATTTTGTTGGATTAGCTCTTTCTGAATAATCTAATTTATATGTACAAATATAATATTGTGAAGCGTCCTTTAGAAAATATTCATTTAAATGAGCACTGTATATAATAATTTATTTCTAAATGTTTAAAAAAAAAATTTTTTTCATTTTTGTTTTCAACTTTTTGCGTTTTACTTGCTTTTGTTGCTTTTTGTTTTTGGATTTTATTGTATTATATATTTTGACTCCTTTAGTATTATATTATTATTATTATTTTAAATATTATTATATGTTATTTAATCCTTTATTTTCTTGGGAACTAGTTTATTCAATATATTGTTTTCAGGTAAAAAAGTTTTGTTTGAAAGCATTCGTTTTATTATTTAAATATATTATTTCTGGACAAAGCATGTTTATAGATTTAGCACAAAGAACTATTAATATATTTTTATTTAAATTATAAATCATTATTTCATTATTGTTTATTAGTTTAACATTAAAAACTTAAAACAATTTTTTGATAAATGACAGAAGTTACTCTATCAAAAAAAACAACACTGCAAAATTCACACACAATTATAATTCAAAGTGCTTTAAATTTTAGATAATTTACTAATTATAAAAATAATTCACAAGAGATAATATTAGGGATGCACAATATATCGGTGACCATATTGTTATCGGCCGATAAATGCTATTTTTTATGATTATCATTATCGATCTGATGTCTAAATTAGGCCGATATCTTTAAGCCGATAAATTACGTAATTGAACAGGTTGGTTCATGCCGCATTTGCTAAAGTAATACAATCTGTATGTAGCTTTTTGCTTGTACGGTGGCTCTGAACTGTCCAAAAAAGGCTTTTTTTGAGGTGTTTGAACATGACATTGTACACATGTACATCACTGTAACACGTTTTATTCAAGAACATTTGGACTGGTTTCAGTCCTTAGCTCTTTCATTTTCATTTTGTTTAAAATATATTTAACTTTCTTGTTAATTAAATCCCATTTTGTTATTCAACCTATTATTTTTATGGAACAGTCAATTCGCATGTTAATTTGCTATGAAGAAGAGGAAATAATTTATTTTTGGCATGCTGATTTACGTGAAATCGTGAATATAGGTCTATATAATCACCTTGCAATTTTGAAATTATAGCTTTTTTTGCTTTGAGTATAGACTATTCAGAAGTTTGCTGTATAAAAATATAACATTTTGAAATATTTAGAATTATCTGCCTATGTATATCGGCTATCAGCATCCAAGTCTAACCGAGTTATCGGTTATCGATATCGGCCAAAAAAAATCCATATCGGTGCATCCCTAGATAATAGCAATGAAAAAATGACTCTATCAAAAAACACTGAGCACAATTCAAACACAATTATTATTTAAAAAAGTACTCTGCATTTCAAAGTACTTTGCATTCAAGTGCATTTATAAAATAGATTTATAAAACATTATAGAAGTACACTTGCAGAATAGTAGGCAGCTTGCAATTTTTTTTAATGTGCCGCAGTATGGTTTTCAGAAGTATCGAGTTTAGCACTAATCGCTACTGAAATCATGTGAACATGTGAGCACATTCTTAAGCAAAACTGGTCATTGTGTTTACGTACTGAACAATTATGACTGTTATTGGCCGTTTTTAAGATTAAAAAATATCCACTTTTACCTCTTTATACAAGTATGGTCATTACATTAATCATTAAAAAAATAAATGAATAAACTGAATAACAATCACTTTTCTCTAAGAATTATCGCAATACTCAACAAGAATATTGCATGTCCTCCCAGTATTGTGCAGCCCTAATTTAAGGGAACCTATTATACCCCTTTGTACAAGATGTAAAATAAGCTTCAGTTTAAAATACCCCAAAAATAAGGTTTTATATCTGCCCCAGTTTAGCCTTTAATCGTAACTGTGCTGTCTTGGTGCCTTTCGCTTTAAATTCAAATGCTCTTTTCAAAAGAGGGCATAGCAAATGTCTATGTGTCAGCATAGTGGCACATTTATAAACAAGACCAACCTTGTATGCTAATTTGGGAGAGATCATCACAAGTGGGCAGGGCTTTCCCCTTCTGATGGCACTTACAAAGGAGAATGTCAATCAAAGTGTTTCTGCTGGCTGTTTTATTAAGTCTGATTATACCATTTCTGCCATTAGAAGCTGCTTACTGTATATTCACAGACTGTTGCCATAAAAGTGTGTTTAAACTCCTTATAAAAGTGATTTTTGCATAATAGGTCCTCTTTAAAACTCTTATATTTAATAATGTGCATCAAGCAACACTAATCATTTTGACTTCAACTGTATGTAGTGACGTATTATTTGTGTCTGTGTTCAGAATCGTATGGAGGAGAGCAAGGCTCTGTTCAGGACGATAATCACATATCCATGGTTCCAGAACTCCTCAGTCATCCTCTTCCTCAACAAGAAGGATCTGCTGGAGGAGAAGATCTCCTACTCACACCTGGTGGACTATTTCCCAGAGTTTGACGGTACTTCTGCTTGTGCTTATCAACTAGATCGCTTCGATACAAACAGAAGCCACACCTGTGGAATTGGCTGCTGATTTAATTAAAGGAGTGCTGGTGTTTACTGTTTTACTCTCTCAAGGTCTATTAGCTAGTAATGCTTGTGTTGCTGAAAAAAGATCTGCACAAAGTCACTCTAAAGTCACTGTTTTTGAACTTCATCAAATAAACGTGTTATACTATCCGGATTTTGATTACTTCCAAACATCCAGTGAAGTAACATGTTTTTACTTGAACCTAAAAATTTGCATTTACAGCACAGTTTATTAAATGATCTGTGAAGTATTGTGAACTGAAATGTCAAGTCCTTTAAATTGATTAGCAATAGTGCACATTTTTCCATCTGATGTTATATGGGAGCATATCCATGTATTTTTATTTATTTTTTTTTTTTATGAAATAATACACTATTGTAGTGACTTAAGCTAATAAAAATATGCATATTAATAATTAATGATAAGTTCTTATTTAATTATGAATATTTAAATTAACTCTCCAGTAGTAGTCAGCAGTTGCAGAATTAACATCAACTGGTCTGCTCATCTATTGTGCTTACAGTGTAACTGTATATTATTTCAGATATAGAAGTAATTTTTCTGGCCTGGAAAAAATAATCTTAACAGATTTCCAGGGCTAATGTTTTAGAAATTATTGAACGTCAGCATATTTGGCTCTCTTGGAAAAAAAATAAAAAATAAAATAAATATTGAAGAGTTGAAGTCAGAATTATTAGCCCCAAATTTTTTAATTATTCCCAAAAAATTTCCTAATTAAAAATTAGCGTAATTTTTGTGACACTGTACAACAAATACTATTTTTAGATTACCATGAGGGTTGGGTTTAGGGTTGAGGTAGGGGTATACTCCTATAAATTAATGTTTAATTTAATGAATAATATTAATACTTGTTGTTAACAGCTGTATCCCTTCTAGCAACATCAGCGATGCCCATTACCCGTCCTTTAACACAATACGATTATTTATTAAGCTATTTAAAGACAAAGTATATGTTCTACCACGTGTTTGAGAATCAGAGTATCAGAAATTTCACAATATAATTAGAACATTTGTCAATATTTATAGAAAAGGGCATAAAGAAACAAAATACGATATATACATAGGTCATTGGGGCTGGTGGGTCACGTGATAAATTTGATGAGTAGCCATCGGAACCTTAAAATGCAATGATCTTTTTTTTGATGACTTTTTTGCGTTGTGTGTTGTTAGGACACTGTAAGAATTATTTTATTTACTATAAATTTTATTTATTATTATTTATTAACTATAAATATTATTATATAAGGAAATAACAAACTACTATTGTCCAATGACTTGACTAATTAATCTAGTTAAACCTTGTAATAACCCTATTTAACCCTTTCATGCGTACGATCACACTGGTGTGATTAGCCTTGGCTGGTCCCTGAAGCATACAATCACACCGGTGTGACTAGAACGTTCAGACTGCACATCATCACCTGAGGCATGGCCATTAAAACCTAGAACGCAATGGTCACCAAAAAAATGCGGGCAGGATGGTCAGCTGGAGTATTTGAATATTAGTATCTTGCAAAATATTGCAGCATTTGGAAAAAAAACTTGCAAAGATTTAAATTTTCATCCATTTTGCCTTCGACTGTATAAAACTGCACAAAATTAGTTTAAAGTTGAAGTGTCTAACTCCATGCTTACATCATTGTTTTGCAGGGCCCCAAAGGGATGCCCAAGCTGCACGTGAGTTCATCCTGAAAATGTTTGTGGATCTGAACCCTGACAGCGACAAGATCATCTACTCTCATTTCACCTGCGCCACCGACACAGAGAACATCCGCTTTGTGTTTGCAGCGGTGAAAGACACCATCCTGCAGCTAAACCTGAAGGAGTACAACCTGGTGTGAGACCAGTCCCCACACCGATCACATGATTAAGCATTGAACAGGCACCCACAGAGCGTGCACACACACACAAACACACACAAACAACACACATGCATCATGAACACACAGCTCTTTTCATTTCTCTTTCCCAGCTTCCAGGGTTCTTCTCTTTCTGTCCAGTGGAATCGGAAACAGACACATCCTGCTTTTGTTTTTATTTGTAAGTCTGTCCGCTCATCCCCGGCAGCTCTCATCTAAGGCTTCTCTTTCCCTTTATCAAATCTGAACGCCCAAAAATTGGGTCGGATTTGACAAAGGCTGTTAGACTCCAACTCGCCTTTCAAACGTTTATGTATTTCAAGGAAAACGTTGGATGAGCGGAGCTACGTTGAGAATTTTGATCCGTTGGCCTGATTAAAAACTGGAAGTGACGTTCCTTCCCCTTCCTGCACTATCACTCGCTCTTCAATCACGCCATCTGCTCCATGTGCGTTTCGGTTTTTTTCTTCTTCAGGAATTCTGTCTGGATCAATGGAATGGTTTTCACAGCCCTGCAAAAAGACGAGAAAACGAGAATAAAATAATCACCACAATATATTTACATACTTGGACACATGGACTAGTGCTGTGGTGCCAGAGGTTCCGAAAATGGAATTCTAGAATTCTGAGGATTCCGTGGGATTCTAGAATCCAGCAGGTTCCAGTGATGGTGTGGAGAACCTTTCACTCGCAGAGATGTGATGATTCTCTGGACGAGGCTAGTCTTCAACTCGCATCGATGAATGTAAACTTCATTGTGAGAGCATCGCAAATGCAAAAACCAACAAAAAAATGTCACAAAAAAAAAAACGAAAACACAAAAAAATGATAATGAGCGAAAATAGTGTAAGAATGCCTATATAAGCAAAACGATACAAAGCACGCGAGGGAGAGATGAAACTAATTAAATCTGTGTATATTGCTGAGATGATCATTTTAAAAGAACTTTTTAATGATAAGTAACTATAGCTACTTCTACTGCTACCGAATATAAAGTAAATTATAACAGCAGTCGAGTTAATGATGGGTAAGAGACGCCGATTTTTAAATGTGCGCGAAACACATACGATAAGGTATTGTTCTGCAGATTTCCACATTTAACGTTAAAAGTGATTGCATTGCTTCCTTCCCCCATGGTTGTTATCTTTTATCCTCCTGTTTTTGTTTTAATTTCACGATCTAAAAACATTGTTTTTTGTTTTTTTTTTCGTAAACAGATACTTTATTAATTCAAAATCCGGGTCATAGACTCGCGGGTATCGTCGTCATCCAGTGGCCCGGTTGCACACAATTCATTATTTGTTTACGCAGTTATTTTTTTCCGTTATTATTAATATTATTGTCATGGCGTAACTTTATCCGTCAACAATTTTCAATATTTTCGCACGACTTTTGGTGGGATCGTGGGAGGACGAGGGTGGGGGGACAGGAATGCATTTATGCGCTGAAGTTAATTGATTGTGTATATTTATATTTGTAAATACGTATACACATTATTGCTTATGTACAAAACGTCTGTGGTACACTATCTTTGGCAAAAAAAATAAGAGAAAAAATCACTTTTTCGTAATTGTGTACGGTTCGGTTGGTTTTCTTATGAATTACAATATTATTGATACTGTGATTCTTCGTTTTAAGTTTTGATCTTTTCTTTTTTGGTCACTATGAATACGTCAAATGATATACACTTAGCTGTACGCGTGGAGGATGAACGTGATTTTTAATCTAAAATGCACACGGTTATGATGAGCAATAGTCTGAGAGATTCTAGACTTCGGAAAAAAAGCATCAGAGAAGGAGCGCGCCTCCTCTATGGTGTGAATGTTATATGAGATAAGAATAAAAAAATCAGATTTTTAAGCAAAAGATTAATTAAATAAAGAACGTTTTATTTATATAATTTATGGACCAGATCTGAAGTTGTTGATAATTTGAATGCTATTGTTTCCTCTTCTGCTATATGAAGCACTCCCATGTTATGAGACAGAAATAGGAGACTAGTGTCTGTACTGCTGTATAAAACCTCCGTTATGGATACAAATATCAGCTTTTTTTTTCTTCTTCTCAAAACACACAATATATTGTACTATATTTCCCTGAACACACTTTTCACTTTTTCTTTTATTCGATTGTTAAATTTCCAGATGATGTTTAGGTGAAGTGCTTAACAACAAACATAGGAACTGTACCATATGAGAATAGACAGCTTTTTATCTGTGATTGAAGATCTATTTGGTCGACGCTTTGCAAGCAGTGACTTTTTTTTTTTGTTGTCTTTCTTTCGATTCTGATTTCGTTTCGATTTCTTTCTAAATTCACGGCTTGTTTCCTTCATTGTGTACGTGATGCAAAGATAGACGAAGAAAAAAAAACAAGTATTCTACAGTTCTTTTACAGTCGATATTTTATACAGGTGATGTTTCATTCATTTTCATCAAGGGCTACGAAAAAAAATGTGCCGTGCGAAATCCTGAAACGATTGGTCACTGTCGGACGTGCGAGGAGAAACTTCACTTTTGTGATCGGTTTGAGCAGATTCAGAAATGCACCCATTTCCACCACGTGTTACTTCTTATTTGATCACTTTTGCTGCCATGCATCGGAGTTCATCACGTGCCACGGTCATCAGACTCTTTCTTGATGGATATAAAACCTGACGTGTTCTTTGTAAAACGAAACCTGTGTGAACTCAGTGTTTTAGTGGGGTTTGGAAATCTCACCATTTTGTAACTCCAGTGTTTTCTTAGATATCCGTAGTGAGTTAGATTTGAAGAAACCAATGATACCAAGCAAACCATGGAGCACTAGACCATCCGAAATACCATAGTATTGACGCATTTCATTCTTCGAATGAATCTTTTGACATTGAGTTCAAGGCTCTGCCCACTATAAGAACGTATTAGATGCATTGCTTCTGGAAGGGGAGGTTTATTTGTTTATTTTGCATCATTCTTAATGCACTTTTTGGGTTTTTTCGTGCCACAAGGCGAATGCCTGAAATGCTTAGACCGTTTGAGCAACACATATCCATTAATGTGCCAGTTCCAGAAGTCTCATATTGAACGTTCCCTCAAGAACCTCTACCTCTGTGAACCGTCTTATGTTTTTCGGGGCATTTTAGGATTGGTAGACATGCGACAAGCACACTTCTTTAGTCCGCAGGGCACAGTTGATGAGGTTTGGAGGCCAAACTTTGTTTGTTTATTGGATCTTGCCAATGACCTGCATGTATTGTCTGCGCTTCAAACACTGAACACAGCAAACAGCACTTTCCTCAGGTCAGATGTGATTTGTTGGCCGGCTTCTGAGTGGAAAAAATAGTACCAGTTTTGGATTATGAATCGTTTGCCTGGAGCTTTACGCTTTGGTTCTGCAGTTGATAGTTTTCACGTGACATCACACACAAAACTTCACTATCTCCTGCTGACCGACAAGTATTTTAGCCAAAAAGCAAGAAAACTGTTATGCAATAAGATATAGTATTACTAACCAATAAGGAGACACATCTAGGGTGTCCTTCTACACAATTCCTTCATAGAAAGATCAGCCAGAAAGGAGAAATGTACGGATATGTGCCGAATGGTAGCATGGTTGACCCATAACAATCCTTTAGCTGTCTCTATTCTATACAGTTTCTATTGTAATTTGCAGGTTAAGTGCAATTAAAGTATAAATTCCAATGCAAAAGTCAAACTATGAATCGCTCAATTGAACAAATAGATTTCATCCACTAATCCAAGCAAAAAAAAAAAAACGACGTCAAACATACAAGCAGACACTTGAGCTTAACACAGATCCTTCTCGGAGCTCTCTACTTATCTAAATCATATGTGTTAAACAAGTTAGACATGCAAAATAAACAGCGCAAGGACCTGGATTGAGAATCGCTAGTCTTTCCAAACTGGATATATCGCCCTCATAAGGACACTTTAGAGTTAAAACAATCATGGCCGACATAATGGGGTTGCTCCAAACCGAAGTGCGCAAAATCAGCCACTTCGAATGGGTTTTCTAATTGAAAAGTACAACTGGTGGACACGTCGGTCCCCTATGATCCTCTGCGTAGGGAAGTTGTTTGGTGTCAAACAGCATGCTTCATTCAGAATGGTTCCTCCCTATGTCATAATCCCTTTGAAGCGGTCGCTCCCTTTAAAGATATTAGGGCATATTGATGAAATTTTCCAAATGGAACTTCTGTAGTAGCTCAAAATTAGCCTCTTCGTAGGGGTCTTCTGAATGAAGGGTTTTGCTGGTGGACGCTTCGGGCCCCCATGATCTTTTGGGTAGGGAAGTTGTTTGGTGTCAAACAGCACGATTCATTCAGAATGGTTCCTCACTATGCCATAATCCTTTTGAAGCGGTCACTCCCTTCAAAGACATTAGGGACTTGAGTGCACTTTTTATATAGTTTCTAATTTGCAGGCTAAGTGCAATTTTAGTATACATTCAAATGCTGAAGTCAAAATATGAATAGCTAAAGAGAACAAATAGATTCCGTTCACTAGCAGTAAATATTAATCTAAGCAAAAGAAACCGACACCAAACATAAAAGCAGACAATTGAGCGCGCTTTTCATGTAGTTTCTAATCTAATTTGCAGGTTAAGTGCAATTAAAGTATGAACTGAAATGCGAAGTTAAAGCAGAAGTAAACAAATAAGATTCATCCAAGCTAAAGAAACCGACACCAAACACAAAAGCAGACACTTTTCCACATAAATCCATCACTAATGACTAAATCTCTGAGGAATATTCACAAGATAAAGGTAAACATCACCAGATTGGAGCTGTAACAGAGAGATGACAGTTTGAAATGACTGAGAAATGGCTGCAAGTGCAGAATATGGATCACAAGTGCTCACAATTTACTGTTTGTGATTATATCTCATTTTATATGTGATCCAAATATTCGTAACTTCAAACGTATGGAAATTTGAGCAGATTTTTTTTTACAATTTTAGGGAGATCACATTGTAGCTGCCGTTACGGCCTATTGTTTTTTTGCCCGGTCTCCAGGCAGGTCACGTGACTGAAAACTATCAACGGACAGATGAATAGACATATCGGTACTGACGGCTGTTTTCAAAGGCAGTTTAGATACAGAAGTCAGGCTAGAAATATATTGTTGATGCAGGAAACAACATTCAGTAGTGCAGTGTTTCTCAACCACGTTCCAGCTCTGCACATTTTCCATGTCTCCTTAACCAAACACACATGAAACAGATCATCAACACATTAGCAGAGACTGAAAGACCTGAAACGAGTGTGACAAAGGAAAAAGACATTCAAAACATGTTGGTGGTCCTCCAGGAACGTGGTTGAGAAACACTGCAGTAGGCAAATGAGTGCTAAAACTTACTTTATACGCACCATAAAAATGGATGTTATTACTTTAGGGAGTGTGGCTTTTGTTGCAACCAAATTCCCTTCATTTCAGGGGGCATTTACACTAGACTGTATCAGCCAAAACTATCATTTGGCCATTGACTGAACTAATTTCAGGCCAATCTGCGACTTTTAGAAGCACGCCGATATGTTTGTAGTCAACAATGAGCATTCGGTGCTTCTCAATCCTCGTTCATGCTCATATTTTGTAGGTTTCTCTTACCGCTTTAAAGGTTTATTCTATTTGACTTCATGTTCCCTGCGAAGTGTGAATGATTCCAGTTTGAAAGCATGTTCAATTTAAAGGGTAACATGCGCAAGACGCGACTTCTATGCTAATCACATGATTACGGTTAAATAGCCTTTCACACTTCGGTAATAATTGAAAATTCTTGAAAATTTTGGTTTTGTTTTGAATGGCATTTCC